CTCGATGGCTCCATCAGTCGAACCCGAAACCACTAGTGCTCAGCCGAAGCCGTAAACTGTAGACTGTAAAAACCTAAACCTCAAAACCCCTTATCCCCTAAGAAGAGTATTGTATAGATCCTACACCCGAAACCAGTCCAAAGAGCTCTCTGCTCAAACCCTAAACCCTTAAAGCCTAAATCCCCAAACTTATCCCCAAAAGCCTGAAGTCTAGACCCCAAAGTCCAGGTCCCTTCTCAGTGTAGCTACAGCAGAACATATACCGCATACCCCAACACTGAATGCAAATGAAAGAGGCCATTTTGGTAATAGCAACCCAGAGCCCAAACCCTACTGAAAGTGGCCTGTCTGCAGTCAAGTTACCGGCCGGTAGACAAGAGGCCACTAAACAAAACGAAGCCTACTCAAGTGCCCTAAACCTTAAAACCCTAATCCCCTAAACCCCCAACCCCTACACCCTAAACCCTGAACCCTGAGACCCAAGCCAAATTATTAAGGCTTATGGTAGGAGCACCCTTATCGTAGGAGCACCTGGCTCCTTGGCATCTTCGCTCTGTCAGGCCGCTTTCGAGTCAAGGGCGTCGGGATGGAGGGGTCTTAGGGGTGCTATGACTTAGGGGTTCTGTGAAGCTATAATAAGCGTTCTATCATTTCAGGATTTAGGGTTCAGGGGCTGGGGATTTAGGGATTCAGGTGTGGTGATCCGGTTTGGGTTTCGAGATGTAGGGTTGGAGATTTCGGGTTGGGTTTTAGGTTAGTGCTTCGGTTGATGATATAAATCCTGGATTACCCATAATAGGGAATATACCATAATAGGGAATATACCATACTTCCCATTGTCTAGGGGCATGATGCTAATGCAGGATTTAGATCATCAACCGTGGCACTTGGGATTTTGTTGATGACCCTGACCCCCTTTTCATGTATAGTGTGCATGAGTGGAGCTTGTGCAAGTGAGGGTCTACTTGTTTGCAGCGGATGGCTTCAGAAAGGTTGGAGCCATGATCGGCAGAAGCCAACGGCGACATGCCATGATCGGTAGAAGCCAGCGGCAACGTGCCATGATCGGCAGAAGCCACATACCACGAGCTGATCGGCAGAAGCCACATACCACGAGCTTAGGCTATCGTCATGCTGTGCACAGAAGCGCATGTCGACTTTGTGGTTTGCAGTAAAAAGAATTCGGATCGCGTGCGCCATGGTTCGTTGAGCCTACTCCTGTGTGAAACACGTTTCTGAGATCTAGACGACGACGTCCCGTAAGGGGAAGTTTGTATTCACAGGTTATGAGCGCCCAACCTCCAGTGCCGTCTCCCCCGACTTTGGAAGGAGAGGCCAACGGGCCGCAGTATGAGGGCATGCGAGAAGAGCGCCAGATGGCAACCGGACAGAGCCCACAAGTGGGCCAGGCCAATGAGCCCCAATTGATGGTCAATGGTGTCGATCCTCCACGGGTGAGTGCTGCTCGCGAAGAACCGCCCCCGGCGGGACCGCGGGTAGCAGGCTCGCCCCTGGAGGGCCGCACGTTGACTGATGAAGCAGCTGGAAGCGCGGTGGCACCTGGTTTTTTCCGCGGACAAGTGGGCATGGACACGGCAATAAGCCCATCGAGCAGTGCTGGCTATGAATCACTACCTACGAGACCGTCTTCACCTATGAGACCCCAGAGTGGGCAACCGCACGAGGCAGAGAGGACGGTGGCTATGGAGTATTCTGTGCAGAATGCTGGTGGTCAACCGGTGGTTCGTTGGGTGGCAAGACTGACGGAGTTTTTGAGATCCGAGCAACGGGTTTCAGGGTAGGTTTATGGAAGGGTTAGGGTTAGGTGTAACAACAGGCCAGCCTTCAGGATTCACCACACTCCCTGAGCAGCAAGCCTACTCTACAAACCACCAGCAGCAGCTCGTGACGCACCAAGCAGCAGCCCAGTCCCCGGCGATGACAGTGGCTAGACCTTGCGACTTGCAAAACCACAGTTTGAGGCAGCGACCGCCACCACCACCTTTGCCGATAAGGATGCCATCGCCAATGGGACGAAGATCTCCTTCTCCACCTCCACCTCCTCCGGTGCAGGCGCCGAGTTTACCGTGGCTTTCCAGGAATCCTTCATCACCACCGGCACCTCCACAATGGGAACATCATCTCTTCACGCCGGAGCAAGCCACTCACTTAGAACGGCATCAGCATGAGGCCCCCTGGCTGTACTCTCGAAGGGGCCCTCCTAGCTCAACGTCGTCTGAAGAGGTTCAAGCTGAAGTCCAAAGGCAACTTCGAAGTTTCGTAGAACGGCATGATGGTGAGGCTAGGCGTCTTCGTGATGAGGTCCAACAGCTACAAGGGGAACGAGATCGTCTTGCAAGGCAGCTAGCACGTGATCAGACAGGAGAGGGTCACCAAGAACGTGATCGGGCTGTGGAGGGTCACCAAGGGCATGATCGGACTGTGGAGGGTCACCAAGGACGTGATCGGACTACAGAGGATCGTGAAGTATACGTGATCGGACTACAGAGGGTCACCAACTACGTGATCGGGCTTCTGAAGGTCATGAGGGGCGCGTGCGGTCTGCTGAAGGCCGTTACCAAAGACGAGATCGCTCTACCGAAGGCCTTCACCAAGGACGTGATCGGGCCTTAGAGGGTCACCAAGGACGTGATCGGGCTTCAGAGGGTCACCAAGGACGTGATCGGGCTTCAGAGGGTCACCAAGGACGTGATCGGGCTTCAGAGGGTCACCAAGGACGAGATCGGGCTTCAGAGGGTCGTTATGTGTCCAGTCATGATGTTGGTCGGGATGCCGTACCTGGTCACAGTCAGACAACAGAGTACTTTGACTTGGCAGCAGGCGATAGAGCTCTACGTGATCAACAGCGACTTCCTTCCGAACTTGATCCACCAAAGGAGCAGGAGCAAGATGGCGCGAAGGCTAGTGGAAACCCCTCTACGATGGAGCTGTTGGGGTTCATCGCTACGGGGATGAAGCAGCTACAAGAGGTCCAGTTGAAGCAGATGGAGAAGAAGTCGGACATGCCGGAAATTGTCAAACCGGGCATTTCTTCTCTCCCAGCTCTGAGCTCGCCGGGCCAAGACACGAGTCCTGTCGACATACAGGATTGGTTGGAGGAAGTCGGAGGTGTGATGACTGACTTGAGCGACTCCAGCTGGGAGTGGTGGCTTCAGACCCGGGACTTGGCGGAAGAACACTACCGCAAGTGGGTAAAGTCTACGCCCATGGAGAAGATCTCTTTGTCGATGCCGAAGAGTCCGAGTCTGGAGCAGGGCCGTTATGGGAGAGTGAATGCGAGAGCGGCGGGAATGGTGCTTGCCGCGCTCCCTCAGGAGGTGAAGTCTGAGATGATCACGAAGAAGGTGACGGGAAGCACGGCAAGTTTGATCTTCAGGCTCCTCACGGCGTACCGGCCAGGAGGGGAAAAGGAGAAGACCTTGTTGCTGCAGCAGCTCACGGCTCCCGAACCGGCCAGTACGGCAGAAGAAGCGGTACAGGGACTACGACGCTGGGGCCGGTGGCATTCTCGTGCAAAGGACCTCACAGTGACGGTTCCGGATCCGGTCTTGATGATAAAGGGCCTTGCGGTGATCGTCTCTGGAGTTCTGAGCCGACATCAAGATGTGTGGCTGCGCACTTCAATGGTGCGTCAGAAGCTGCAACTAGACAGCAATCCCAGCGAGGAGTCTACCTTGGACTACCATAAGCACCTGCAGGCCGAAATGGAGTTGTTGAGTACTGCGGCAGCCCCTTCAGCGAAGGCTACTCCAAAGATAAGGAGCGCTACTACGACGGCAGAGCAGTCAACTACGGCGCCTACGGCAACCTCCTCTACTACCACACCGGCGGCAAGGCCCAAGGCGTCACCTACCAAGGACAAGGCGTGCAAGTGGTTCGCTAAGACCGAAGGAGGCTGCAGACGTGGGGCGGACTGTCAGTTCGCCCACGAGTGGGGTACTACGGCGAAGGCGGGCAGATGCCTGGTATGCTCAAGCACGGGCCATCTCAAGAAGGACTGCCCGGTGAAGGACAAGGGTTCGGGTTTGCGTCAACCCAGACCAAAGTCTGAGCCCTCACCGCAAACCTCAGCTACTACCACTGCAGCAGCGAGGGCTTTGGCTACCACACCAGAGATCACTTCTTCTTCGACTACGATGCCTCCTCAGCCTGCGGCGGAACCTTCGCCTACTACGTCACCGACTTCATCACAATCCCGGGTTCCCCCAGAAGAGGAGCGCCCAGGAGAGTTGAAGCAGATGTTGGCGGATGCGTCCAAAATGTTGAAAACCATGATGGCCAACAACCCTTCCGGAACCCCGGCGGGATCAGCGACAACTCCGTCGTTTGAGTCTATCCAGAGGCAGTTAGATGAGCTGCGGCTGAAGTCTATGACCGTGGACAGCGCGTCAAGGGGAGCTTCGAGTTCTACGGGTTCCTCCTCACGGCCGCCTACGTATGAAGAGATACAAAGGCAGCTGGACTCCCTGAGGTTGAAGGTTATGAAGGTCACTAGTGCCGACGGCGAAGATAAGCAAGGAACCCTGTTGGATTCGGGATCTACGCATGTGCTTCGACCAGCCAAGGATGAAGAAGAATGCCGTGACTGTCAGCAGGTCTTTGTTACGCTGGCGGGAGATGAACAGCGGCTTCTCAACCAGACAACGAGTGGAAGCATCATCGTGGAGCCCAGCAAGTCCAAGGATGTTCAGTCCATAATCCCGTTTGGGAAGGTCATCGAATGCTTGGGGTGTACCTTGAAATGGTCTAAGGGCGGCTTTTACCTCCACCACCCCAAGTTCGGCCGCATAAAGACCCATGTTCGAGCAGGATGTCCAGAGATCACTGATGCAGGTCAGGCGGCAGCGATCATCGCCGAGCTTGAGATGAAGAAGGTTGCGGAGCTCAAGGAAAAGACACGGGAGCTTCAGGATCAGCTCACTGCGATTCGGATGCTCGAGGACCGCAAGGCTGATTGGAGAGTGTTGTTGGGAAGGTATTCGGAACAAGGGTGCGCGGCTGATGGTTTGCAGGCCTTGTTCACCTCCCCGGCGTTTGTCAGAATGCCCAACGAGTTGAGGACCCTGGTTGCCCCGGAGATGAATTGCTCACCCGATGCGGGCTGGGACTACCTTAAGCTCCTACCAGTGCCCAGACGGATGAGGAAGCGACTCCTTAGGTCGAGCTGTTGGGTGTTGAACATGTTTGCGGGCGGCAAGAAAGGAGACCCCATCCAAACCTTTGCTGGAGCTACTTCGTCAAGACATAGGGGCGAGGTTGTGGTGATCAACGTCGATGTAACTTTGTCGCCGGGGTGGAACCTTCAAGGGGAGCTCTATAAGGCCCTCCTGTGGGGAGCTATGAACTCGAAGGTGAAGGCGGTGATCTCCTCGCCCCCTGTCGGAGGTTTGTCCATGGACGGTGTGACGGAATCCAATGGGAGCCCATCGCATAGATACATGAAGGGCTTTGAGATGCTGTCCAAGACGCTCTTTCTGTACCTGGTGGCCTATACAGCCTCCGAGGGTGCGGAACCCTCGTTGTCAGTTGGTGCGCCAGTTGACAGTCGCGGATTTTGGGAGCTTGAGATGGTTAAGGGCTTCCAGGAAGTGGTGAAGGAGATTGGAGTTAAGGAGTGCGTGCTTGAGCAAGGTGCTTTTGGACATCCTGAGAAAGCTCCTGTTAGGCTTCTTCACAATGTTGGTTTGGAAGTTCATCATGGGCTGAAGGACTCGCGTCCCGACCACCTACGTCCCCCTCGAGATCCTGACTTTCCTGATCGAAGATGGTGTCCAGGCCTACGACGTGCGATACTTGAAGGCATTAAGGCTTTGGGCCTTGGGGATGGTGCAGAGGGCTATGAGTCGGAGGGCGAGTGCGAACTTCGGAAATTGACCAAAGAGCAGGGTTGGCGACTCCACATTCAACGAGACCATGTTCCTTTCAGAAAGGACTGCGAGCAGTGTGTGATGACTTTGGGAACGGGGCGCCCGCACAGGCGAGTTCACCAAAAAAGCTGCTATGTGCTGAGTGTTGATGTGGGTGGTCCTTTGAGATTCCCCAGCAAGGATGCACACGGCTCTGGGTACAAGTACTTCCTGGCGGCATCCTACACCAAGCCCCGCTTCTCAGACTTAGAGCCGCTTGATGAGGACCCGCCACCCGACCTTGCCGATGAGGACTACGACTTCTCTACGCTTGAGGACGGGGAGGTCGACCCTGGAGGGATAGCGGACGACGAGTTCAGTGCACAAGGCGGTGTATGGGATGAAGATGAGCTTGCCGAGTACGAAACTTCGGAGGCAGACGTCAATGAAGACCCGGCAATGAAGAAGGTTCACGGCACCAATGGACTGTGGGACGATGATGATTTGGCGGCCATCGAACAGGAAAAGGATGCGAAGGCCACGGAAGATGAGGAGGGGAACGCGGAGGCTCAGACGGACTTTCTCTACTACTTCAAGCCTTTGAAGGGGAAGAGCGGGAAGCATGTCCTCAAGGCGATACAAGAAGTGGTTCTACAACTACGAATGGAAAACCTTCCTGTGGTTCGGATTCATGCGGACCGGGCCCACGAGTTGAGATCGGAAAGCCTTCGTCAGTGGACCTTAGACAACAATATCCTCCTCACGCGGACGGAGGGCCAGTCCCCCCAGTCCAATGGGACGGCTGAGCGAGCCGTTCGTTTCCTAAAGGGGCGGGCACGTTCGCTACTACGATCTGCTGGACTACATCCACAACACTGGGCCACCGCCATGGCTACAGCAGCACATCGTCAACGTGAAGATTGTTTGCGACCAGAAGCCACGAGTGTACCCCCTGCGTATGGCACGAAGGTGGCGATAAAGAAAAAATACTACGGCCAAGGCGGAAAACTTGATCTACTACCTCGATGGGTTAAGGGAACCTACATGGGGCCGGTGTGGGACGTTAACCAGGGCTCAGCAATACTCGAGGATGAGACCAACCGCTTCACGGTGTCTACGCATGTGAGGGCAAAACTTGTGGACCCAGGCACTATCGACCAGGAGCCGGAGTTGAAGGTTGAACCACCGCCCAGGAGAAGATTGTCAGCAAAGACTACGGTGGACAAGGACGGGTTGAAGATAAAGGCGATGTCTGTGAAGGAGGCACGAGAAGTGCAAGGGAAGTTGCAAAGGGAGATAGTGGAGTTTCTCAAGACTGGCGACTCCCTTGGGCGGAGTTAATCGTCCTCAACTACAATCCCAAGAACTTCAACCTGAGAGCTCGTACGTCACATTGGGAGCCTTCCAACATGGTGGGGTAGTTGGTGTCACCAATGCAACGAAGGACCACCAGAGCTTGGCGAAGAAGGTGTGCGAGTTAGTTACCCTGGCCTTTCCTGAAGAGGTGTTCTCCTCTGTGACGATTGTTCGTGATACTTGTATGCCTGTTCACCGAGATTGCTTCAATGATCGCAAAACCTATAACCTGGTTATCCCCTTGGATGTGACGGGTGATGCAGCGGTTTGGGAGGAGCTTTGTCCTGGTGATCAATTTCTGGGAAGCTATGAAACCAGGTGGCATAAGGGTCGCGAAGTACCAGGTCAAGTTCACAGCCTAAAGGGAAATGTCAAGGTCAGACCTCATCGGCTCCATTGTGCAGTACAACCAAGTGAAGGACCGAGGCTTCTTTTAGCTGCGCACACCGTTGGTGGATGGAAAAAGCTTAAGGAGGAAGAGCTTCAGGAACTGATAGAAATGGGCTTCCAGATCCTCGGTGTTGAGGAGTACATCATGAAGCGAGCTGAAGTACAAGAACACCGGGAGGCTTTGCATTTACCGTGGGTGATTGAAGACGAAGATGTAGTTCACAACTTTAGTGGAAAAGACTCCCCAGCCGAAGTAGATGAGGATGTGGTTCGATGCGCAAAGGCGGCTGCAGACAACCTCTACACCTATGGCATTGAGGAGATCTTAGAATCACTACAAGATGAACTACGTGTTGTTCATACAGTCCACCCTCGTGAAGTAGATCAGCACCTTCCCAGTTGGATTCCAGCCCTGAAGGCCGAGATGAGTACTCTCGAGGACATTGGCGCCATCAAGAGATTGGTAGGGCAGGCTGCGAAGGACTACTTGAACTTACCAGGAGTTCAGGTGGTGCCGGGGAAGGCCGTCTACACGGTGAAGCCCCCAAACAAACCGGGCTCCAATTATCGTCGCAAAGCCCGTATTGTGGGCTGTGGAAACTTCCAGGCGAAGGACGACTCGGAGCAGAACTACTCCGGCGGAGCTGCTGCGGAGGCGGTGAGACTTGGTGTTGCCCAAGCGGCAAGGCGAATATGGGCCATTTGCACAGGAGATGTGGTGAGCGCCTTTTTACGGGCGCCTGTGCCGCAGGGCACGCGATTGGCGTTGAGGCCACCAGCAGTTCTTGTGCGCGCTGGATTAGCTGACCCCAGCGAGTTGTGGTCAGTGCATATGGCACTATATGGATTTAGAAGTAGTCCTCGCTGGTGGGGCTGTCACAGGACAGGCATTATGAAGCAGGCGGTCACACCGGGCGGCTTGACCTTCCACCAAGGAGTTGCAGACTCTGAGGTCTGGCAGGTGCGAAATGGAGAAGGGGCCGTTCTCGGCCTTGTCATAATCTACGTGGATGATTTCTTCATTGCTGCGCCGAAGGAGATCTGCGAGGACATTTACAAGTGGTTGGCGGATACGTGGGAAACTACGCCCATTCAATATGCCTCCTCTACCTCACCAATCCGTTTCCTTGGAATGGAAGTGCGAGAAGCTCGAACTGAGTCCGGGGAGTTTGAAGGGTACACCTTGGACCAAGAGGGCTATCTTCAAGAAGTACTACGACACCGGAACGTGAAACCCGAGGAGAAGTCGTTGCTCCCGGCCACGAAGGAAACCCTTACGTTATCGGCTGATCAGGATCCACCTACGTTTAGGCCGGAGGACCTCAAGCTGGCGCAATCCCTTACAGGCGAACTCGCCTGGATGGCCCAGCGTTGTAGACCGGATCTAGCATATGTGGTGAGCATTATGGCGAGCTTGACTACCCGAGACCCAGTGCGGGTTGCTGCAATAGGCCGAAAGGCCTTGGCCTACCTAAACCATACGAGCTCGTGGAGACTGAGGTTTTGGACCGGTGGAAGCCCTACGTTGGTGACCTACACGGACTCTTCCTATGCTCCGGACGGAGACCGGAGTCATGGAGGCGCCGTTACGTTTTGGGGAACATGTCCTATCGCGTGGAGGAGTTCGCGCCAACAGTTGGTCACTACGAGTTCCGCGGAGACGGAATTAGTGGCAGCTCATCATGGGTGCCAACAGATGGAGTCAATAGATGCTCTTCTCACGGATATGGGCGAGACTCCGGAACAGCGGGTGATCTACGTGGATAATGCTGCAGCGATAACACTGGCGACTTCCGAAGGTGGGAGTTGGAAGACACGTCATTTGAAAGTGAGACATCGAGCTCTACGCCAGAAGGTTGAACAAGGCTGGGTCGAGGTTGTGTACTGCCCGGGCGATCAACAGCTGGCGGATGGACTCACGAAGCTACTGGCGTCGCAAAGAATGAACCAGATGATGTTGTTTTGGGGATTGTCGGCAGCTGGAGATCATGTTCGCCTACGGCAAGTTCAAGCTTCAGCAGAACAACAGAACCCAGAGCAACAAAGGACCGAGCAACGGACACTGGAGCAGCGCCAGCCAGCAGAACACACACCGACACCCACAGCACCACATCCGAATCCCGAAGGCCTGGGTTGTTGTTTGGGACTTATTGTTATTCTCCTAAACTTAGCTAAGGCTAGTGGTGAGGTTACTAACCCGGAAGCCCCAACTGCTCTGGCTGTGGATTCGTCCTTGGAGCTGTACGGCGTGGTGTTGATGCTGGGAATATGCTTTATTGCTTTATGGGAATGTGGAAGAGTGTGCTGGCGAAACCGCGGTGAGGCGATGCGCTTGAGGTCTCTTCAAGAATCCCAAAAGCTGTCCAAGAAGGAGATGCGCGAATTGAATGGTCTACTGAGGCGGAATCCCGCCCAACTGCAAGGACATGAGAAAGAACGGATGATCCAGTTGGCTGAGGCAACCGGAGTTGATCTTTCAGGAATCCTTGCTGGAACCGAAGGGCCACAGTTCGCTACTCCAAGTACTGTTCTAGGTGGAGGTGAGGTACCCCCACCGCCACCAAGCCCCTTCAGTGCTTGTGCGGCAGACGAAGAATTCCTGAGGAATAGAAGAGGGGAACGGCGTTCTCAACCGTCGCCTCCGCCTCCACCACCTACCTACGAGGACATCGTTGAGGAAGACGAGCGGGCAAGGAGGACTACGTCGACCTTCTACCCCGCTCCGGAGCAGGTGTCAGCTGAAACCAGGACCTACAAGTCACGATCGGTTGGAACTCAGGTCCAGATGCTGAAGGAGATGCCAAAAGTAGTGTTCGTAACTCCCTCTGGAACGTGTGTGCATGCTACGAGAGATTGCAGCACATTGAATCGATCGACGAAGTTCATACAGAAGGAGGTGTGTGCTAAGTGCATACCAGGGCAAAAGGAGGTCACGGAAAGGCCAATGTAAATGGCAGTGACCTAACGCCCATGCCAAGGAGGGGTGTTGATGACCCTGACCCCCTTTTCATGTATAGTGTGCATGAGTGGAGCTTGTGCAAGTGAGGGTCTACTTGTTTGCAGCGGATGGCTTCAGAAAGGTTGGAGCCATGATCGGCAGAAGCCAACGGCGACATGCCATGATCGGTAGAAGCCAGCGGCAACGTGCCATGATCGGCAGAAGCCACATACCACGAGCTTAGGCTATCGTCATGCTGTGCACAGAAGCGCATGTCGACTTTGTGGTTTGCAGTAAAAAGAATTCGGATCGCGTGCGCCATGGTTCGTTGAGCCTACTCCTGTGTGAAACACGTTTCTGAGATCTAGACGACGAAGTCCCGTAAGGGGAAGTTTGTATTCACAGATTTCGGGATTCGGCATTTTGGTGTTCATGCTTACTTGGAGCAGCGAGCCGGATCTCGCCTCTCTGAGCGGATTTGGGCATGGGGATGTGGCCTTCGGGGCCTTATAACAGGGACCCTACTACTCAGGGTACTATATTTGAATCCCCCATTTTCGGAAACTCCCACATTAAGGGGCCCTAAGACAGCTGGCCCCATGGAGTGCGAAACCTCTGCATCTGTAGCAGGCTCCTGGTTACCTGGAGCAGCACCGGGCTGAGGCGGCTTGAGGTTTGAAGCGACCGGGTGAAGTATGCTGTAGGCATAGAGCAGAGTGCAATAGTACAGTACAGCAGCGTAGGATCACGTGGAAGACATGCTATATGAGCCACATTACGTGTCTTCCTGTTTGGTGCCTGCACTGCAACTTGCTGGACGTTGAGCTCAAAAGAACACAGTCGCTGAGGAAGAAGACTCCCTCGCTTGCGACAGCGGCGAGCACTTTCGGCTGCTGGAGCCATTGCGTGGAGTGGGGGCCTCGAGTTTTTAGATGATGTAGGGCAAACGGTTCCAATATGTACGCAGCTCTTCCGCAATCCACCTGCTTTTGTTCAATACATGGGCGTACATGCCAAACACGGCTTTGCAAGTAGTGGGACCTGAGTAGAGGTGCTGCTTAGTGTAGTCGGTGATACACATCCAGGGTTGGTGGTACGAATTGCGGTCTTCCTCTGCAGCATGTATAAGAAAGAACGACATGTGTCACATGTATATACATATAAGCATATAGATGTATATACATATATATGTGTATATACATATATATATATATATATGTATATATGTATATATATATATGAGTAGATGTCGAGCCGCCTCCTGTTTAGCCCTGATTTTATGACTTTCCTGTCATTATCTGTACTTGTATATATGTGTATACACACCACAGAGGTTCAGACATGTATGGAACATGCAGTTAGCTGTACTCACACAGAGCTAGCTACCTGGCCTTTCCGAGCGACGGGTTCTCCGTTGGATCGGCCGTTGGCATGCAGAGTTGCGTTGAATACTGATGCCGGTTTATTTTCCAGAAGACGAAGTAACCGGTAGCAGGCAAGGTGCGGCGGGTTCTGGTTCAGGGTTCTTGTTGGCATTGAAGAAACCGGTCTCGGGTCCATCTTTTGCAGGAGACGGGCAACACATCCCAAAATCTTCCAAACTCTATTGTACCCGACCTGAAAGCCGTAGAGATCCCGGAACACCTGGACCTAAACCCGACCATTAGATATGGTAAACCAGAGTCCAGAGCCTTTTGAGGTGGCCTCAGAGGAGATCTGCAGTTGGTGGTGCCCTCAGGTTGCGGGTAACATAGGGGGTTGAATAGTTATCCCCAATACTAATACCAACAGTGGGAATGAGAGAGCTGTGAGCACAAATATGACGACGATCAAAAAATGTAGCAGTAGCCTTAATTAGTTACTGATCGTTATAACAACAATCTCTGTAATGGAATCATCATCAGCTTCAGTATTTTCATCGTTTAATCCGTGGACACAATGTCTTTTGGCACGATCTTGTTGCCATGTTCGCGACGAAGGTGTGGTGCGCCCGGCTGGCTTGTTTTTGGTGCAATGATACTGGAGCATGAGGTGTGCCCGGCATTGTCATCTTCATGTGTCCCTGGGTGGTTGCAAACTGCGTTCCTGCTCAAGCTATGAAACCCTTTGTGGTCATCACGGAAGAGATTGGTTACGTTTATTGGCGATTGTGCTCGGCTTTTTCAATAGCGGCCATGCTCTTGTCTTGAACGTTTGGGGTCCGGGACCTTTATCTGTGTTCGAGCACGGGCTTTCGCGGAAGACTGGCAGACACTGTGCCCCTAAAGGTGTGGAAATGACCAAGTTCGCCGCTGTAGACAATGGCACAAGTTTGCTTGCAGCCGAGATGGACGCCCACGAAGTCTGTAGTTCGGGGCACGAACACGTTACCGACCTGATACACACGTTTGACGACGACACCTGTTCTTACTTTGTTGTGGACTTCGCCATGTTCATCACTTGGGATTTTTTGTAAAGCAAGTGGCAATGGACATTCTGTCCGACATGTGTTGTGGCTTAAGCCAGATGCATGATCAAGCTTCGCTCCATCGAGACGTGAAGCCAGAAGAAGGCCCCCATCCAGTGCCGCTTCTTATCACGCGGGCCAACTCTTTCAACATGGACCTGGGACTATTTGCTACAGCGCGCCCAGAAGGCTCTCAGGCCATGCTTACGAGGCCCCTTATCCTAACTTGTGGTGTGCTGGTTGCTGTTTTTATCAGTGCTTGGCCGAGACGTTTTGACTCAAAAGGCCGCGGCCGCTTGACTGCAAAAACAAGCCCAAATCAGCAAGCTATCCCGTGCCCAGCCGAGCGGGTCAAGGTCAGCCAAAGGTTGCTTGCAAAATTTCAGTGTCGTTGACCCAACAGCTCGGCTCACCAGCAAGTGCCGCACTGACGTATGCATGCAGCAGAAACGCATGCGCCTGTGACAATCTAGCTAGCTTCGTCTTCTCTGAGCCAGTGTGCGTGCCAGCATGTCTTGCCTGCATGCTCTTTCAAAAAGGGAGTCAACCACCGTCGCCAAGTTCAGCCTCGCGACAAAGCGATGGACGAACCCAGAAGATATTGAAAGCAAAGTACAAAACTGAAAGACAAATAATGAGTTATATTAATATTAATCGTAATAGGTATCTACTTCTTTGGACTTTACTTTGGTGGTGATTAAGAACGACGATTGCAATGAGGGTTTTTCTTGCAAATGCCACGAGCATGTTGAGACCGCTTTTTCTGGCTGGGCTTGCGAAAGCCAACCGAGGCAGCCGATCGAGGGTGCATCCTTCCTCCCAGGTTATGCTGGAGGCAGGCAGACCGGAAGTGCAAGCGAGATAGTTGAAACTGTAAGGTCGACGCTGACATGACTTGCAGTGCAGCTGCAGCTTTGATTATCCGTTTCCGGAGGCATTCGTGCCAGTATGGAGTGGATTACAATCACAGCCACTCTTCATATTTGTCGAGGAACATGCGCATGATGTGGCAATGTGGTCTGTATGACTGCAGTTCTGGGGCGAAGTCGCTCTGACTACATGCTGACAAATTGGAATTGCGAAGCTGCTGATCCTGAAAGTTTCTGCTCCAGGCATCCCAGTTGCTGCTGGCTCCCTCGCGACGGCCAAGGCTGCGTAGTGCTGTATGCCACCACTTGAGCAGGTGTTACAGGTCAGATACTCAGCCCCATCCTGCACCGAACTTCAACGTCGACGGACCGCTCAACCGTAAAGAATATCTTAATCGTAAAACCCCAAGTTTGACCCTGCCGGAATTGCATCAAGAATCTCAGACCCACTCCCAGTGCCCTCAACCCTACAATCCGAGCCCTACTGAAGAGCCTTAAAGCCCTAAGCCCGACACGTCCCACGCCTAGTTCTCCTCAACATCTCCGTCCAACTCGATCAACGAATCCAACGAGTCAACTAGGCTTCTGTCCGATGCCGCGGTCGCCGAATACTTGACACACACTGCACAGCGTGATTTTTTCTTGGCCGCACCGTCTATTTTCATTGCCCTGAGACGGTGTGCCGTTCGGGTTCGGCCCGTCATTCCCAGCAGCACACGCCCAAGGGTGTTTTCTCGGGAGGCCGTGTGGGTCGGGAAGACTTGCCGACCTTGTTTTGAAACAGGGTTTGAGGGTATGTGAGATCATACCACATGTGTAGCAGGCTCTGTCTGGACACATATGCACATCCGCACAGGCAAGCTTTATTAGGTGTTGGTTTTAAGCTCAACTTAGGGATTTGGATGGGGAGCTCAGGGTTTGGAGTTTTGAAGTTCGAGTTGAGTCCGGGTTCAGAGTGCGGCCCAGGGTTTGTGGGCGTGGGCACCGGTAGGCACACTGCATGGCGCTTGGCCCTGAGCTCAGTGGCCCTGTCATGTCGGGCTTCGGGTGCAGGATGTAGCGCGCAGCGATCCGAGCGCGGCCCCCTCAAGTTTGGGGCCTTCATAATTTGAAGAGGGTTTTGGGTATATCATTCTTGATATTTCTTATTAGTATTATTGTTATCGTATCATTAGTATACTATTACATTGGAATTATTTCAGGACGGTTTTAATCGCTGTGCAGGATGTCTTGTGACTCGGGTTGAAGAATATGTTGCTCAGGTAGGTTAGGTCTTATCGGGCGGAGTCTGCAAGGGGAAGCCTGCGGGCCCCAAACTCAACTGTACCTAAACCCTAAACCCTAAACTGAAGCCGTCAAGCTGAACCCAAAAGCCTTCGACACCACAGGCGGACGCACCAAGCGTGAGTCCGAAGTTGAGAATCCCCAGCCGTTTCAGTCCGAAGCTTCGACCCTGCAAACTAAGACTCCCCCGCAGGCCTTAACCCTGGTACTTCGGTTGATGATATGAATCCTGCATTACCTTAAGGACCCTAAGCTATGGGAATTATGGTATATTCCTTATTATGGGTCATGCAGGATTTGTATCATCAACCGTTCGAGTCCGGAGACTTGACACCCGACGCTCCCATGCAGAACACAGGAACATGTCGTTCAACCACGTATCCATCGTTTGCTACTGCTAGAAGCCCAACTTTCATGAGCATCTTGGGCACATTTCCAAGATATCCTGTTCTGCTTAGTCAAGCTTAAACCCGAAACCTTAAACCCTAAACTCTAAACCCCAAACCCAAAACCTGAAACCCTAAACCTAAACCCGAAACCTTAAACCCTAAACTCTAAACCTCAATCCCCAAACCCCAAACCTTAAGCCCTAAACCTAAACTCGAAACCTTAAACCCTAAACTCTAAACCCCAAACCCAAAACCTTCAACCCTAATCCTTAAACCAAACTCTATCAACAAGCTCCGAGTCAGCTCAGGTTCGAACTGCTCCGGGATCACTTGGCAGCCTTGCAGGCGGAGTCGCACCGTCACTTATTAGTAACAAGAATAATGATACGGTTGATGATACAAAACCTGCATGACCTTGAGGACTCTGCACTATGGGAATCATGGCATATTCCTTATTATGGGTAGTGTAGGATTTTTTTTATCATCAACCGTAGTACACATAATAGGAAGGAGAGTAATAATAATGACAGTAATGACACTAGTGATAGTAATGATGATCATGAGAGTCATGACAATTGATAATAATCGTAAAGTTGGTAATGAGAATACGTACTGATAATCATGATAATATTGATAAGAATGATAGTCATGGTAATAGTGTTATTGATGATAACAATGAGAATGAACATGAACGACAGCATTCCAACATTCTGTGCTCCCCATAAGATGAAGAATCGGATTGCCGTGTACTTTCGGAAATGTAGGGTACCTGATTGTGCCCTCACGTCACCAGTGTTCAGTCTCTTGTGTTTCGTAAAACTGCCAGTGTTCAATCTTATTGCTGCAGCTTCAGCTGCTATCATGAGTGATACCTCTGCTTGTGTTCTTTCTGCTCCTGCTGCTGCATTGTCACATTAGTGGCAGTAGTGTTGAGCAGTAGTAGGGGTAGGAGGAGCTGTAGGAGCAGTAGAAGTTGTAGGAGTAGCAGAAGCACCAGGAGTAGTAGGGGTAGTAGAAGTAGGAGAAGGAGGAGTGGTAGTCGTCGTAGTGGTAGTGGTAGTAAAGCCACGGCTAGTACTCTTACCACCACTACTACTACGACGACAACGACGACGAGTTGCTACTGGCAGCAGTGATCGTCGTTGGCGTCGTCCTAATCGTAGCACTTTTTGCCGTTCGATGAACAGTCGTGCTTGCTAGTGGAATGCCGGAGGCATTAAAGGCGGAATGCCGCTGGCATGAGGAACATGGACTAAAGCCTTTTACTGTATGGCCGAATCGGTTTCACAGGTTCGTCAGGCCATATGACCAGTATTGAGACGTAATCAATGCAAAGCTTGATGGGTGATCGTCTTTTCTTGCTTCTTTCCGAACGAAAGGCCGACACCATACCTTGCCCTGCATTCTACCGCCAAAACATTGGGTTTCGTGCTCTTGGGAATAGAAGCATGAGCCGTGCAGATCTGCCCAAGGCCAACATGACAGTGCGTTCTTGGAATGATGCCTTGACAGACCCCTGAACCTTTTGGAAAACCCCAAACCCGAAGGAATGAGTTCTGTCGATTGTTTCAGGCTGGTGCTGAAAGGTACAGTAGGCTCATTTCACAAGAAGATCAGATGCCCGCACTTCGAAAGCCGCAAACCCCCATGGCCCCAAAATAGATGCAAACCTAAATCAGGTGGAACAGCATCATGCTCTACTCCTTGCGACAGGAGGCCGCTTCTGTGGCACTCCTGTCCATGCTTTGTGGTGAAGGCTTTGACCATTTAGGGTCTGAGTTAAAGGGTGCCCGGGGAGGAGCAAGAAGCAGCAGCAGCAACAGGAAGGGCAGGATGCAGACGAGAGACGCAGAGATTGTCGTGGGCGTAGTAGCATCCCTTGTTTCATGGCCATATGCCCGAAAACCCCAATGTCGCTGGACCGAAGCAGGGAATTGGAGTAGGACAGGTATGCAGACTGAGGCTCCGTGGACTGTGCTGCCATGGCCTTGGCGTTGTGTGGGTGGAGCCTCAACTCCATGCCACCACCCGAGAAGCCAACGGAGGTTATCGGAGATGAGGATCTACTACCGGCATTCCCGATTGACGAGCATCTGCATGTGCAGTCTCATTTGAGCGATGGAGGCGAGCCCCTTTTGCTGGATGGAGGCGCAACATGCCGACGAGCTCGCGTGGATAGCGGGGACTGTGGGGTGCCCTCGTTGGAAACTCGACAGTCCTACTTCTCCAGCAGCATGCCGACAAAGGCCGAGCCCCCTGCGCCCCCCAACCGGATCTTGCACAACCGCCACAAAGATCTTGTCGAGAAGATGATGAAGGACGTCTTACCCTTCCTCTACTGCATTTCCTCTGGTAGCAAGTAGGGAAGCATGTCACAGTGCACAAGTGCTTTCCGCATATGTATCGTGATTGACCTCCCAGCGCCATGTAAATGGTGGTCAGGGCCAGCGGGACAGCCAAGTGGGTAACCCTTCACCGTTTCATTGTCCTGAGTTTGCGCGTGCGTGTGTGTGTAATCTATTAATCTATTGTTTGTATAGACACACACACACACATATGCACACACATGTTTGTACTTCTGTTGGTAGCGGCGTATACTTGTATGTGTACTTTTGTTTGCGTGTGTTCGTACTAATGTAGTTATGTCATGTTCCATTTCTGTATTCAGAATATTCATATTTCTGTGTATAGGTATAGGTATATCTTAGTATGCACAGTAAGGGTTGATATGACATTACAAACCATATATGTTTATGGGTGTACGTGTATATACATATATATATATATATATATGTATATGTATATGTGCGCACAATATGTATATCTACTCTTATACTCTTATATATATATATGTGTATATACATATATACATATATATATATATATATGTAAAGACACAGACACACGTACACACTCGCATATATATATATATATATGTGTGTGTGCATCTGTTTATATGTTTTGCACACTCGTGCAATCCTCCCTCTGGACTGATGTAACTCTCGAGAATTTCAGTCGAATCATTCAGAGGCGTAGGACTTTAAGAGGATTTAGGCTTTACCTCTGGCCTTAAACAAAACTGCACTCATATGGGGTTTATGGCTTGGCCCCAGTGCCATTCCAATGCATTCGCTAGCACTTTACTGCAGGTACACAGAGCTGGCCAAGCTCTGCTTCCCATGAGATCAGGTAGCTTCATTGGACGTGGTCCCTGATCTCATGCCACGTCCCCCTGCAAAAATAATGCATGTCAGCAAACCTTGGCAAACAGGTGTTCCACACACACACCCCGACAAGCGGGGTAGCCTTTGATGGCATCACATTGTTGACAGACAGCAGTGCACATTTTACACTAACGGCCTCTCCGTGTTGTATAGCACAGAACAAGGGTGGTTGAGAGTCCCATTGGTGGGTACGCACCCTTACATACTGTTAAAGAAGATGGCCAGCATGGATGCTAGCAAGATCGAATTAAGCATGCAAAAATGACTTTCACGGAGAAGTGCTCCTCTTTCTTTTCCGAGGAGACTCAGAGCAATCAGTGCGATTGGAGGGAGCATTGGTAGTCTCAGGCAGGTGTGAGCTTGAGCTCCACAAACTGTCCGCAGTAAGGCGAGTTTGGATCCACTGCTGTGTGGCGGGGAACCACGTTTTCCACCAACGGTCTTGACCATCAGCTGCCGTGCTTTTAGACCAGTAGAAACGCCACGAAATCTGCGGAGAACGAGATCTGCTCCGTTCCGACATGATGGACTCACTAATCTCCACTGAAACCCGCAAACTACAGACATACTTCAGCAATATGCAAGGCATCAAAAATAAAGGGCAATTGGAGACTGCGATGCTGTTTTGGCTTCGCCTCGCATCTGCTCAGAACCGGCTTCACTGTTTGGTGGGCCCGAACTCATCCTGGATGAGTTTGACAGGGCAAAGATGCTTCAAAACATAGTGGCAGGAGCACCTGTAGCCACTGCGGGCTTGCATCTTGGCAGCTGCTTTGCCACGAAACTGGTAAGGTTGTGGCACATCGACAAGTGGCTTGATAGACCCCGGCAGGGGGTACATAACTTCCGAAATGGGATCGAAAAAGTTCGGAGCATCTGAAGTCCTTGATGGCTTCGCGGTAGAAGACTTGGAAGTCTTTTTGGACTTCTTCTTCTTTTTCTTTTTCTTTGTCTTCTTTGTACTGTCATCGTCCTTAGGACGATTCTTGCACCTTTTGGAAATCGGTTGAGATGTTGCATCAAAAGCAGAATGCCACGACGAATCCGACGAAACTGGTGACGGCTGCCGATGTTCAGTGGCTTGATCCATGGTTACCAGAAAAGGAGGGCAGCATAAGAGCCAAAACTTCTCACACCAGATGATCTATCCTGACGTAGCTTTGCATGTGTAGGGTATTGCAACATTGAGCAAGGCACCCACACACATTGCACAATCTTTTTCTGCTGTACGAATTAAATCGGCTTGCTTAAGCAGCTGAAAAAGCTGCGGCTGCTGCCATGAGGTTCTCTTCCTCAGGATCATCTACATCAGGCAGCTCTATCTTAGGGGTTGCAGGTTTACCCCATGGGCCCCAGCTGTCGTCTGGAAGGCCATCTGCCAGAGCCAAAGTAGGCTCATTATCGACAGCTTTGAGCCTAGTTCTACGGCGTTGTCTGCTCTCTTGCTGAGGGTAGTCAGCTTTGTTTCGTTCGGAAAGAACAAAGATAAAATCGATGCGAGCCGCCGCGAACCGAATTGCCCACCGTCTGTCCGAAGAACAGCTGTGGACCAAAGCATGAAATCTCGCCAGATTGTTCTCATATCTGGTGCATGCATTCTTGCCCTTAGCATGGCTACTGGGCAATAAGCCTGCAAATACCACTCCAGAACAATTCTTAGTTGAGTGGTAGCACTTGCAGGCAAGCTGTACAACTCCTGCACCCCAATTGGGGTTTGTTGTGCTTCTGCCGTAGAAGGAAAACGTATCTTCTTGAGGTTCGAGGCCGGCTACACTGTGATCCGTAGGGAGGATCTTGCCCGTAGCCAAAATTCCTGTGACCCCTTCCCTGGTAGTGGCATGTGCCCAGAGATGCCAGTTTTGCTGGGCCAGGGGTGGGCCAGGAAAACCTGTACACCTGAAACGGTATCCAACTACATTCTCTTCCACATCATGAAACAGTGAGGCACCTTCTTCGAAGTGTCTCTCATAATGAAGTCTGGACTGCAAAATGCAGTCTACGAAGCCGAAAAATTCTTCCTGGCCTATGGTGTTCGATGGCACCTGCTCTGGAAACAAACTGAGCAAAAACCGAGCACATCCTTGTCTCTCAGGGTCTTTGAGAGACGAGAAAGGGCACTGGTACTTGCGAACCACTGCCGCTCTGGCTGCATTGCTTCGCAGTGCTTGCCAGGGTGCCATAACCCACTGTTCCGGAAACGGCGCAGTCAGAATTTGCTGACGATAAAAGAGGTACTGGCTCAGGGTGGTCATACCACCTGGAATATGATCCACTGCTGAAAATCCTGACAGCTGGATTTCCAGCTGATCCTCCACATCATTGATATTGGCAGACATGAGGCCCCGAAAAAATTGATCATCAATCTGTTGCTGGCTTTCCGTTGGAGCCAGCTGGTTGGAAGTCGATGGCCCTTTCTTTGAGGGCTTGGTCTGCTTACCATGGTCCGGGAGATCAGCTGCTGGGGCTTTGGCTTGTGGCCCCACCGGTTCCGGTGCTTTATTGGACCTAGCCAGCCTCGGCGGTGTGTGAGGCACGGCTGGTCGCCGTGAATCCGGAGCCGCAAAAGGCAACGGCGGCGGTGGTGGAAACCAACATGCAGAAACATTTCCCGGAAGAAAAATGATGTGGAGGCGATGGTGCAGTATGTGGCAGCAGAGCTGGCCTCGGTGGGGGAACCCAAGGCGCTGGTGCTCGCCAATTGCCCGGTGGATATATTGGCCCTTCTCTCCTCGGCCGGTTCCTAGGAGGTGTTCGGCTTCGCCGATGCCTCTTGGATCTTCCTCGGGACCTTTCTTCACGACGCCGAGAGGGTGATCTGGAAGAGTATCGTCCACGATGCGACCGGGCTGGCCTTGGCCGTGGATGAGGATGTAGCTCTTCCACCGGAGCCGGCAATGACAAAACAGGCGCTGAAGGGCTGGTTCCTTTGTATCGTCCCTTACTCAAGGTGTCACTACAGAAGAATTGAAACACATAGGAAGCCATGGCAGGGGCACAGAGGATGCCAACTACAAGAGCTTCCACGATCCAAGCTCACCGTAATGGAAATTGATGCCACTGCACACCGATACGAAAACCCACAGTGAGCATCAAAGTCAGAATTTTGACACTGTCAAGTCAGCAGTTCTGCAGGGAAACCCTTAGCTATGTACAATTCGCGGAGTCCCTGCAGTTGATGTTTGCGGCTGCTCGGAGGCCATGCATACTGTACAATCAAAGCTTTCCGAGAAAGATAACCTGAAATTCGGGTGGACCAGCTACCTGCAGATCTTGGATTTCTGATGGACCAGGCTTTGTCTGGTTGCAGGTAGGTCACTGTTCTGTTGGCCATGTTGAGCCGGAAGCCCAGAAATTGATGATTTGTAACCTCTTCCAGCTGGATAGTTCCTCCGTAAAAAGAGAGGTGTTGAAAATCCTTCATGCATTGATGCGACAGAAAATTCTCGTCGCACACAACGAGTCGGTTGTCAACATACCTACAGACAAACAGTT